TATGTTCTTTCTAACATTTAGTTGTTATCTTTTGCCACCAGAATCTTTACACGGTTTGTGATCTTGCGCTGGGACTGATCCTAAACAAGGTAGCTGCCTTGCTTTGTCGTTTCACCCATTTATTAGTATTATTTATATATTTATTTACCTTGTTATAGGAAATTAACACTTCATGAAATTAAGGTGTTGGAAATTGACGCGACTTAAATTAACGCGAATTTAATGGGAAACGAGTTTCGAATAAAGAAAATTAACGCGAAAGAGGAGGTAGAATTTCACAATAAAGGAAATTAACGCGATTAAGACACAGTTGGTGGTGACAACTGGAACAAATTTATTTCAACACTGGATACCAAGAAATTTACAACCGAACAAAACTGAGCCATGTGGTTGTTGGTCACGTACCAAAAGAACTGAGCCGTTATGTGTGGTATGCTTTGGAACAAGGAGCCAAATTTACAGGAAGAGTTATTTCAGTGAAGCCGGAAAGATCGCCACTAATTCAAGGAGGCCTTGAAATACCAATGGTCGTTTCTGTCCGGTGGAGCAATGCGAGAAGTCTGGCGATTTTGAAAGAGAGAACAGAGGAAGTGTCATACTCTGTCGAGAAAGACTATGTTGACGATTCGAAATCTATCTTGGCCGAAATCAAAGGAGAAGATATTGACATCACTTCTGACAGCGACAACGATGAAGATGAATTTGAAATATTGTAAACCTTCGCCTTAGCTTCTGTGAAGGATGAAAAATAAAGGGTAAATGGAAAGAAAGAAAGCTTGTAGTTAATGTTTTTTAGTGTCAAGAATGTCTGGACAGGTTCCAAAACTAAGGTTAAAATACTGGAAATTAAGAGCGCGGAAATTAACGCTCAAAAATAACGCGACTTAAATTAACGCGAATTTTAACAATTTGCGTTAAATTCATGCAGCGTTAATTTCCTATAATAAGGTATTTGTTAGTCTGATTTCTCTTCTGGTCCTTTTTGGTTGTCTTCTTTGATATCGCTTGTTGGATTTTTTTTTTTTTTTTTTTCGCATAACACCCAACAATTTTGGACTGAATTCATTTTATTTATGTCTGTGTCTTTCACTAGGTTCACAGCTTTGTTCTGAAAGAATTTCCTGGCAACCTTGTTTTACCCAAAAGGTTCTTTGTACCTTCCGAGGTGAGGGCCTTTAGTGAGCTTCATTTTGAACGACATCTTACTTCTCCTTACGTTGTGAAAAGCTTTTAAAGCACGTAGCTAATGAGAATAAGGTGTCAAGGGATTATGTTAAAAACGCATTCTGTTCACATCCACTTGTGGTGAGAAGCTTTTCAAAGGTCGCGCAATGGCGCTACCAGGAAGGAGTGTTACGTGACGTATCTACATGTCGCAAACGTCACACAATGGATCTAGTTTTTGATAAGTGTTGCGTGACGGGTTTGAAAGTCACCTAAAGGTTTTCTCTATGTGACGTATTTTTAAGTACAGGAGAAAAAACATTGATCCCCGTAATTTTCACGGAACTTTTCTTATGCTTTAGTGATGTCCCTTAAGTATATTTTTATCATGAAGTTTTTGCCTTTTTGAGGAGATGCAATCTTATCTTTCTTCGTACCAATTTGCTCTATGTTATGTTTGCAGGGAGGTAGCCCGAACACTAAAAGTTACTTACCAAAAGGATTCCAATTCACCACTGTTAAGGTATCCGTGTTGCAGCTTTCCTTGATTAAACCTTAACTAAACGCCACGGGGTGTTTGTGTGGAATGCTGCTGTTTGTGTGAAATGTTAGGATTAGTTGCAAATGTCACTGATTCCTGAAGTCGACTGAGAATCATCCGTAGCCTGCTTGCAGGAGGTAGTTTGAGTTTTCAAGCGCGAGAATCAGCGCGGCGAATTTTCGGTCGCCATATTGGACAAGTAGAAAATTTGGGACGAGTGACCGAGCGAGGGAAAGGGGGAGAAGGGTTTTTATTTTTCTGGTTTTACTCCCCCTCCCCCTCGGTTTGTCACTCGTTTCAGATCTTCCACTTGTCCAATATGGCGACCGAATATTCGCCGCGCTGAATCTCACGCTTTAAAACACAAACTACCGCCCGCAAGCAGGCTAACTCATAAGGGACGTGGTGAAAGCGCTCACAAAAGCAATTTCAATTACTTTTATTTACCGTGAAAACCGGTGTAATATTCTCGCGTCCATCGCTGTTCTATCGTGTTTGATCGACGCAGTAATTCGAAGAAGGGAAGTAATGTTTGCGTTGGGAAGTCCGTGTGAACTTCTTCAATTACCTTCCGTGCGAAGGTAAGGACGTCATGCTTGTTAAATGTTCGAAGTGACAACTATCCACTTGGTGACAAGCGCGTGGCTAATTTCTAAAACGGATTACGACGACATTCAACCGAATTTTTTAACGTGGTCTGCTACAGGTATCGTATCTAGTACATTTTTGATCAACATAAGCCACCTCTGGCCTGCTTATAAAAAGGAAATCAATTGAAAGATTTTTAAATGTTTCTTTTAATTCGTCGCTTAGGGACAAAAGAAGGGGAGCACAGTTGAGTCAAAGTCGACGCCATCAAAGTTTTCATCAAAAACCTCCGCCAAGAGTGACAAGAAAACACCAGGGAAAACTCCAAGCAAGTAAGGACGAACTGAATTGGTTTGAGTTCTCTCATAGTAGATGCTGGTTCTAAGTGTTTTTCTGTAAACCCTACTAGGGATAATTTTGGTGTGTGCCTGGGTAGGACACTTTACTATAACAGTACCTGGCCCTCTCTATCCCTTTGCTGGAGTATCAATGGGTTCCGGTCAATTGTCAGGGACGCCTGACAAAATGGAGGCATGGAAATTACGGCGCACAAAGCGCGCGTCTCAAACAATAGGCACGGCCGCGTGGCATGCCCGCAAAATCCGAGAAAACGCGCGCTGGTGGCATGTTGAGAGCCCTGGCAAAGATGGGATACGTGGGCAGGGAGGCTGAAACTCACTGAGCTTGTAGTCCAGCGGGATGGGTATTACGGCGCACAAAGCGCGCGTCTCAAACAATAGGCACGGCCGCGTGGCATGCCCGCAAAATCCGAGAAAACGCGCGCTGGTGGCATGTTGAGAGCCCTGGCAAAGATGGGATACGTGGGCAGGGAGGCTGAAACTCACTGAGCTTGTAGTCCAGCGGGATGGGTATTACGGCGCACAAAGCGCGCGTCTCAAACAATAGGCACGGCCGCGTGGCATGCCCGCAAAATCCGAGAAAACGCGCGCTGGTGGCATGTTGAGAGCCCTGGCAAAGATGGGATACGTGGGCAGGGAGGCTGAAACTCACTGAGCTTGTAGTCCAGCGGGATGGGTATTACGGCGCACAAAGCGCGCGTCTCAAACAATAGGCACGGCCGCGTGGCATGCCCGCAAAATCCGAGAAAACGCGCGCTGGTGGCATGTTGAGAGCCCTGGCAAAGATGGGATACGTGGGCAGGGAGGCTGAAACTCACTGAGCTTGTAGTCCAGCGGGATGGGTATTACGGCGCACAAAGCGCGCGTCTCAAACAATAGGCACGGCCGCGTGGCATGCCCGCAAAATCCGAGAAAACGCGCGCTGGTGGCATGTTGAGAGCCCTGGCAAAGATGGGATACGTGGGCAGGGAGGCTGAAACTCACTGAGCTTGTAGTCCAGCGGGATGGGTATTACGGCGCACAAAGCGCGCGTCTCAAACAATAGGCACGGCCGCGTGGCATGGCGGGTGGGGGTGAGGAGCAATATCTCTATTTAGAGTGAGAGATAAGGTTCTGACGCGTCCGAAGCAAGTGCGAGCATGGCCCACGAAAAGATTGTGTGCATAATTATTTTGCCGAAAAAGTTAGATTTGTTTTTGTTGTTTTTACAGGGCCTCAAAGAGTCCGAGAAGTACTTTAAAGGAGAAAGTGAAAGAGACTCATTCAGACAAAGAAGAATCTTCCTCAGAGACATCTGAGAGTGGATTTGCCAGTCCCCCTGAGGAGCAAACATCTCCGAGGTGAGAAAAGAATTAATACAATGTTGAAAAATATTAATACAATGTTGAAAAATATTAATACAATGTTGATCCTTTATCGAGTCCTCGGAGCGACTTCTTGACCACCTAAAACCATCCTCGGCCACCAATTTCGAAGATAGAGTTCGACTCTGCCACTCCACAAAATTCCACGTGAAACTTCCCACGTATGTGTTTGTTTAAGTACTTCTAAATAACTGTTCTTCAAGCCTGACTGAAATTCCCAAAACCCGTCCTGAAGGGCACTTCGTCCTCTGAATTTGCGCACATTTTTTTCTGCATTTAAATGAGTGGTGAAAATTTTGGTTTGAAATTTCAATTGAATAACAGAACAAAAATCATTTGGCTTTGTTTCTTTTCATCTAAACATATTTTGCTAGAAAAAGAGGAAGACCGGCGAATTCTTCAGAGAAAACCGCTGCAAAGAAATCAAGAAAGGCCTCCCCAGAAAAGGATACCAAAGCAGAAAAGAAAACTTCAGCAAAACAATTGAACTTGTCAAATAAACGTAAAAATTCGCGACAAAAAGATGCTTCTCCGCCGAAAAGTCCACTTCGACGCTCGCCATTCGTATCCACAGAAAAATCGTCGACTGCCAAGTCATCACCGAGGTGCGTGTTTTTGTTTTCTCGTCGTACATCTGTCAAAATTTTGTATCGTTATCTGTTGTGATTTTGTTTTCACTGTAAATTTTTTTGTCGGCTTTCATGGTGATCTCAGCGACAAATCCATTTGGTTAATTCGTCTTAAATGTTTGAGGTCTTTCTTCGCTGTACTTTGAAGAACAAGCGAAGAACTAAAAATACTTAAGGAAATTATACTTCGGAAAATAAAATCAGTTTACGACATAACACAGCGCAGCTTACGCCACTACTTAAAGAAAACCGTTTGTTCTAAACAGCAGCTTTAGGTAATGTTATTTCTTAATTTCTTTTTTCAATCGAACAGCCCCCGAAAAGGACGAGCCGCGAAGAGACTGGTGTCTGAATTAGATACTTTACCCGAAGATGGGCCAACGCCGGACAGCGGTACCTCAAGTTTGGAGTCACCGAAGAAGCCTCTTAGTACAAGGTAAAATATAAAAGGTTAAATTTGGATTCCAGTGTGTTAATCAATAGGCCAAACGTGTTTCCCATCACAGAAAAATGACACGGTCCATCAGAGTTACTAAAACGTAGAAATATTTTCGTTTTGGTTATGTGCAGACAAATATCACAGCAGAGCTCCAGGACGAAATCTAAAAGTCAAGTAAACGGAGTAGTAAGTATATGTTAAATTTATCGTGAAAGTATTTGTTCTTTTGCATTAGGAAAGTTCCTTCTGTTCCTGACGGTAACGATTGTGCACGTACAATTTATGGATTTTAGGACCTCAGACACTGGTTTTCTTATAGTAACAAATTTAGTGTTATCACTTGTGCTTTTTTTTTTTTTTTTTCTCTTTGCTAACTAAGTGATTCTTTGTGATTCGACAGGTAGATAAGAGTCCATCTAAAGTCAAAAGGAAGGTAAGTCCTCTAGGACTATTGGTGTTATCGAAATTTTTTTTTATGCCGCAAACTTTTTGGAATTCATTTCATATTATTTAAAACGGTTTTGCACACAGAAGGACATGGAAGAATCAAATTCCAGTCCGGTTAAAAAGAGCAAGGTATCGGAGTCTGCACCAACCAAGCGAAAAGAGCTCGCATTAGTGGTAAGTAATGTTTTCAACAAATTCTGCATACTTTTTTTCTCGTGGATATAGCTTCGAAATGAATTGTTCTAATATGAAGTTATCATTTTTTATCTTTTTCAGGTCAAAAGAAAGATCAGTAAGAGAAGATAAAAGGGAATGAACAATCGTAATCTGTTTCGTTGTAAATAGACATCAAATCAAGGATCGTCCAAGTTCATCTCCACTTCCATTGTACAGTTTTTCACAAGACTCTTCAGGGCAGAGCATAACGCAACTTTCATTACCAAACCAGCAGAGTATATGTACTCAAGTTTGTTCACGTGGATGAAACAAAGTTTTTGTTAGGAGACCTGATTATAAACCTGGGACGAACTGACCTAGGTGATAACCTCAATCAGTGACAGTAGCATGCATAAAGCCTAATGTTCGGCTTATTGAAGTGATCTGACTGTGCTTTGTTTCCTTGCGACGAATTCGTTCTGTGCATTCATTGGTCCGTTTGACTCGGATATTTTTCAGCACTTAGCTAGATGGTTACTTCGTGACGTGTTGATTTGGACAGTGCGTACGACCTGGAAACGAGAAGCCACTCGGCAACGAACTCGGAGCTAAACGTTGGGATTTGTTGATACTTCGGCACAACGCGCCATTGGTCGAAGAAAGTCGTTTCTTAGTATCGACTGATTCTTGGAAACGAAAGAAAGGTTACATAGAAGCGGCTGATAAAGGGGGGATGCGAGGGATGGAAAGGAGTATTTTCTCACGGCAGTTCTTTTGGACAGTTTTATTACTGACATTATTTGACATTTATCTTTTATCCTGCAGTTATTTGTATCCATTCGCTACACGTCAGCGTTCTGAACATTAGAGTACAGTGCGCAGTTGATGTGTTTCATGGCTAGCAACCACTGCACACTTTATAGTGCCTTGAGTTGGCTTTTGTGCTGACACCCAAGCAACCGTATCAAAAGAGTTTAGAATAGTTAACAACTATTTACCGAAGTGGAGGTGGTTAGTGGTGGATATTTACCGAGCCGCGAAGCGGTGAGGTAAATATCCACCGCTAACCACCGACACTGAGGTGAATAGTTGTTTTAGTATATACTAAAACAGTGAAATAATATACACCACCGTCGTTAATTTGAGTGATTTCTTCGCTTGTCACGGATGCAAACCGGGACGCCATTTTTTCCCGAGTTGCTCGAAGGTAAATAGCAAAGGATATTCGGAGTTTGACTATCCAATCAGAGCGCGTTCAACGCTATCCACTGTTTTAGTATATACTAATAAAGATTATTTGGTACTATCTTATTTAAGTGCGTAAATGTACTTGAGAATTTATACTTTGCCCGTTCAAAGAATTGGATCTCGTCAGGAGGAAATCTGCAAAGTATAAACGACATGTCCATACTTCGGTCAAACAGAGGCTTTACTTCGAGAGCATTTAAATGAGACTCGAATTGCCTCAAGAGCTTGTCTTAGCGCCATGAACTAAAAGAGGTTGCCCGGACGTATGTTGTAGAAATGCATTTTTTTACATTTCTAATTCATTAGATTTGACTCAGCATAGTGTGAAGAGTATCCTTCCATATGATTTACGTAATTTTCGCCTTGGTTGAAACCTTGAAAACCTGATTTTATCCTTCGACTTACTGGAGATTTTACCGATATTTATGCAGTTTACCCTTCATTGAATTGAAAGATGTGTAAGTTTATGCTTAATTAAAGGAATTTTAAAAGTTCCGCTTGATTTCGTTTTCTTTATTTGGGTGTGGAGCTGCATGAGTTTGGTTTGTGCATAATGCGCGTACGGTAGATATCGCGTGAAGCGTCTGATTGTACGGTGATTCGAATTGTTGAGACCTAGAGATGCGCTAAAAACTGCTTTAAAATCCCAAAGCACTCTTGCTGCTGAGCTGTTCAGAAATATAGAATTAGAACCGACTCTTCTGCCATCTATTCATCCAGGATGGCAGCGAAATTTGCCGGGATTGGCTGAGTACGGTTGAGAGGTCTGGGTTCAACTTCGGCTCTGTCTTTGTGCATATCTAATTAATAAGTCATGCGAGTGCTTCCGACTTTAATTACCAAACCAAGAAATGACATGAAGACTCATCGGGAAGAGGACTAAAAATTTAACTTGACAGTAATTTCGTCATTCTGTTCTATCGTTGAGTCAAAAACTGGCCTTTTGTAATCCGGATAATCGAGATGATTTGAAGGATATTTTTAGAAAGAATCATTGATGTCGATTTATGACGTAGTGGAATCAGTCAATGTTTTAACTGCAAGGGAAAACAAACAATACGCTAAAAAAGGTAACTGGAGGAGAAAACAAGTCAAAAGAAAATGAAAAGAAGAGAAAAATAAAATATAAAAGTTTACCTTTCCCATACCGGGAGTCGAACCCGGGCCGCCTGGGTGAAAACCAGGAATCCTAACCGCTAGACCATATGGGAATCGGCTGATCGGTAGAGAGAAATTAGTGATGTCATTTAAATAGGACGTGACATCACCACAAGGCAGGCAGACTACGTTGAAATGACTTAGGAGGCTCGAAAGGGTTTTCCACAATTAACAACAAGTGCCAATCAGTAAAAGATATCAGGACTGTCAAACTTATCATCGGGATAATGACTTGACATATCCTTAACACTATGTTAGGGCAATCTGCTTAGGGGGCTCGTCAGGCATCATCTGTTGCCATGGCAACAGTACAGTAGTGCTAAAAGACCTAAAACTCAGTTTTTGAAAGATATCTCAAAAACCAAGTCGGTGACCTAGTTTTTTTCTTTTCAAATTTATTTAACATCATGACATTCTCTATCTGTATACGGAAAGGAAAATGCTGTTTTAAAATGTAAAAAATTTTCCACTACATAAATTTTTTAAAAATTTTCCTCAGGAATGCGTAATGATGAAAATAATTTGTTCACAAAAAATCAGGGTAGGTCACCGAACTAATTTTCGAGATATTAGTTCATCAATTTAGCAAGCTTTATTTCCGGTTTTTACAATTTTAGCTCACACTTTATATCCGGTCACGCGCTTTAAACGATACCGCTGACTCCAGGGCTCATTTTCGCAAGGATGAGTCCCTGTCCGCGCGATTAATCGGTGGATGCCCAAAGCGCGGAAAAGATCGTACATCCTGAAGATGGATTCACATTGTTTCGTGACTTTACACATTCCTGAAAAGTCATCATTTAAGACTCAGACGGCTTACCGTTAGGACAGTTGGAAATGTAAGAACATTCCGGAGAGAATTCTCTTGCGGAATTCGATATATGATGACAAGTTGATCTTGAAGGTGGCGCCAATGCCAGTACAACATTGAGGCCGTTAATGTTGAGTTTCTCGTACAGAGATTATAGTGTAACATGAGACAAACCAGCCTCTGTCAGCTTCTGGACCATGTTTGTCGAAAGATGAAGCTTTCCATCGGACGTCTGGATGGTATCCTGTCGTTGTTCCGAGAAGATGGCTTGATCGAAGGCCTCATTCGGCGATGCACATTTACCATAATTGACCGTATAATTGTTTGAGATACAATGAAATATATGAAGATCATATATTTCGTACTGCGGTATTAGATACATATGATGCACGATCCTCGCAGTAGATAGTGCTATTTAAGCAATAGCGAAAATCAGACCGAAAAAAAAAAAAAAAAAATTCAGGCCTAGACGGGATTCGAACCACTGACCTGCGATACTAGTGCAGCGCTCTACCAATCGAGCTAACAAGCCAACTGGGAGCAGGCCGTTAACTTGATTCGTAATAAACCCCCACTTTCAAGGGTTTATTACGAATCAACTTAACGGCCTGCTCCCAGTTAGCTTGTTAGCTCAATTGGTAGAGCGCTGCACTAGTATCGCAGAGGTCAGTGGTTCGAATCCCGTACAGGCCTGATTTTTTTCAGGTCTGATTTTCGCTATTGCTTAAATAGCGCTATCTACTGCGAGGATCGTGCATCATATGCGTATAATTGTTTGTGTGCAATATGAAGTGGAGGACTGAAAACAGTTTGGAGTTAAAAGAATTTGCTTTGGCGTCTTCCAGATTGTCATGAGCGTCAAACTAAGCGGAAATCAGGGTTTCATATATACAACAGTAATTTGTTGGTCGTCACAGATTTCGCGAATTTCTATATTTTTCAAGGTACTAGAGGTATGAACAAGCCTTGGCTTCATTTTCCTTCTTTTCTCTTTGCCACTGTCATGGCCGTGAACTTTCATCATTCCGTTTTAAATGGAAAAAAAAAAACAAATTTTGCAATGCCTTCTTAACAAATGCGAGTTTGCATTTTCGTAGTTGTAATAATTTCGAGTGAAATATCAACAATCTTTCTCACAAGTTTAAGATCAATATTTTATTTTAATTTACCGTTTCTGGTTGAATTAGAATTAAAGTCTCATCTACATTTTTACGATCTCTTGTTTTGCAGTAAATGGTTTGAACCCGGGGGTAACATGTGAAGGTGTAGTCTGATCGTCCGGGTGAGTGTAGTCCTGAGAAGGACTGTTGTCGGTGGCAGTGACTGACGTTTCGACAACCTGTGCGGAAGTCATCATCAGAGTCAAGTGAGTGATTGTTGTCAGTATCACTCATTTGACTCTGATGATGACTTCCGCACAGGTTGTCGAAACGTCAGTCACTGCCACCGACAACAGTCCTTCTCAGGACTACACTCACCCGGACGATCAGATCTCTTGTTTACTGAAAATTATGTTTGTTTTTTTTTTTTTATGGCAACATTTACACTTCTCCATTTCCGTTCATAAAACATACTGTCAATGTTTACCATCCTTGATCCAACAATGATTTCATTTTCCTTTCCATCTTCCGGTGAGTTGTTTAGGAAAGTTCTCGGTCATTACATTTTATTAGGAATCAAATTCAATGCGAAACAAATCGTAGCACGCAGAGGTATCCACTTAAATTTTTCGCGGAACAAAGTAAGACGTACCGAATACACTCGTCGCGACTTTATTGATGGGGTGTTGACTTCACCATCCTCCTTTAGCTCGTTAAACTTTTTTTGACCACTTTCGGCAAAAGTCCTGCCATCCAAACATTTTCCTACCTACTTTCAAGAAGTGAACTTTCCATTTTTGTTTCTCAAACGGCCAATTCTGCTAGAAACAATAGAGGTACCCGGCAATTTTGAAACGCTCATGGCGGTCATGTTTGTTTACAACTCGGCCACGGATCTGATCGCGCGCGCCATCGCTTATTTCTCTCGCGAGTAATTTGCCTGCGTGTATCTTGGAATTCATTCTCCGCGCGGTCAAAAAACCCTTTCGAGCCTCCTTAAAATTTTTGCTGGTATGTAAATAATTAAAAACGTAGGCGAGAATAACGCAAGTTTATTACATATGCATCGATTCTTGTAAAGAGCATTTTGAGTCAAAAGTTTGAGCGCTATCATCTGGTAACTATATTTAACTTTATATCGAGAGATGTGTGGCGTAATCCGACACAGAGTTTCTCCCAGAACCGCCGGATTTCCTTTACGAAAATAAGGCTTCTGCATTTAATGGACGGTTCCTGAGAGAGCCTTTCGCCCTTTCACTCCAGAGTAACCACAAAGACATTTTTTCATACAATATCAGTAAATTGTCTAACTGTCAAAGTGACAAGAAGACAGAAAATGTTTTAATCAGGGAACATAGCTTGATTTCAAACTAAAGTCTCGCAACAAGAAGTATAAGAAATATACAAAAGGCAGTAATGAGAATTTATATTGAGAATTTGGGAGTGAATTGAAAGCGATCATAAAGCGAAAACTCGTGAGGTCATAAGGGTCAACGGTTTTATCAACATCTATCAAAGTGTAACCAACACAAACGAAAACGCGAAGTGAAGAAGAGAAGGAAAAAATATATTGTAAAAGAATTGCAACAACCCACTAATGAAAACTAACCAATTTTTTGACGCAGTTCAAATAGAGCGACGACTTTTTCACAGCTTGCATAAGCTTGACGTTAAGCATAAACACAGCATGTTTTGAAGTAATACTCGTTACGAACTAGTTTTGACCTGTTTCAGTCAGAGTGCTTGTTTTGAACCAGTATAATCAATTCTGCGAACGCGCTCTCATCAAAACTTTGGACTTGAATACTTCAAGCATTCGACGGTAACATTCTGGTGGCGCAATAGTCATCCCTTGTTTATCCTACACTGACAAAACGCGCTTTTTACTTTTATGAAAGCTTCACTGAATTTTCAAGTCTTGTGGATTATCTTACAAGAAAATAGTCAAAATGGAACAAAAATGCTTTGACTCTCGTTCAACAGCAGACATATCGAAGCAAAATAGACCTCGTGGAAAACCTCGTCTTCCACTATTCCAAAAATTTTCTTTTACCGTGGGCCATTTTCTCAACGATGCCGTTTTCGGAGCATGGGTATCCTATTTGTTAATTTTCGAAACGAAAGTTGTTGGTTTGTCCAACAGAACTGCTGGCTTTTTGTGGATCATACCTAGCTCTGTAGACGCTGTGTTATGCTTGGGTGTGGGTTACGTCTGCGACAATCACAAGCTCCCGTTCCTTTCTAGATATTACGGCAAACGTAAGAGCTTTCACTTACTCGGGACTATTTTAGTAGCGGGATTATTCCCCCTTCTCATGATGCCGTGTTTCGTCTGCGGCGAAGATTCATCTGAGTGGAGCATTGGGATTTACTATGGTTCGATCATGATCCTACACAACATTGGCTGGGCTTTATCACAAGTTACTCATCTGGCGCTAATACCGGAGATCGCTAAAAGACCCAGTGAAATGGTGGAACTACACGGCTTAAGGTAGGAAGAAAATTTCAGTTGGCATCTTTTTCAGAAACAGACAAAAATAAGTTCTTTAAATCTTTGCCGGAAATTTGATTAGCTAGCAGAATGTTGCTTATTTTAGTACCCAGATCTCATAACATCAGTCGCGACATGAACCTAAATTACACGGCGTATTGTAAAACTAAGAGCTGAACGGTAGCAACAAGAAAAAACTCGACATATCCTTCCTTTCCTTTTCTTATTTTTGCGACTTCTGATCAGGTTTTGAGAGAGGAAAAACGGTGGAATTTTCGGCCGAAAAATTGAACTTTTACCATTTTCAATGAGCATTACATAACAGAAAAAGTAGGTCAGAAAAGCCGGCTTTTTCGGAGGATCGAATTTCAAACAAACAAAAAATAAATGAAGTGTGGGACTATTTTGGAACTTGCTCTTAAACTTGATTTAAACACGTTTACCGAGTTTATACACGATAGTCTCGTGCATTACTCTGATTATCGCGTGCCCGGAACTCGCATGGCGTTTGCTTACTTTTCTGCGGATCCACGCAATTGACTTTTTTTCCAACGCCGGGTTACTTGGTGGTAACCACTGTGAACATAGCCACCCGGGAAAGACTGGTTGGTTTTGAAAAACGACTTTTCGAGCAAAGGTGTTTTTCCTGTACTAGAAAGCCACAAATATGACCCAGGGGATAATATAAACATAGATTTACTTCATTTGAAAGTTTTCTTAGTTCTGTTTACTGGAGAGAGTTATTGGGATATGTGAGGAGATTTTTTTCATTGATCACTTCCCTGGGGGTCAGTGAGTTAAGACCACTTAAAAGAGCTTTTCGAGAGGATAATGCAATATACCACTCCGTTTATTTACAAGTCAAACTTTATTTTACGCGGAAATCCGGCCAATGTTTTTATCGCATTTTGATAATCTTCATGAATGTTCCGCAGACCTCAAATATTGCGAATTGATTCGTGGAATGTTGTCAGTGTCGCTTACACTGTGTTGTGATACCGCTTACGTCATTTGCGGGTCTTTTAGTAGACTTTAAAACCTGTTTGAAAATGGATGCAACCTCCACGACAACAAATAACAAACACAGCTGGTGAATTTTATTTGATAATAAACCACACATCAGCTGCTGCTCCTCCCCCCCATCGAAAAGAAATCTGCCTTGTCGGCTCGCGGAGACACTGTGACCATTCAATCTTCTTCACCCTAACTCTACAAGCCATTAGAATGACCAGCAATCAATTTCTCCTCACAATATGCCAGCCAAGTCAAACATTTAGGGCATGAGAGGACAGGAAATGATCGTCTTCTGAGGAAGCTCTTGATTAATTGTTAAACAAATCCTCCTCGTCTTTCAGGCATTCCTTTAATCGAAGACAATTTCCACCCTCATTAGAACCTTCCAGTGAATCGTGCTTCTACATCGTGTCTACTTTAAGCGATTCGAAACCATTTTTGAATGTCTAAGTTTTAAATTTGTTTTTTGAATTCTTTCAGATCCGGTTTTACATTTCTCAGCGGCATCTTTGTGTATGCCATAACTTGGATTGTCCTTAGAACTGATGACGGAGATGAGAAGATTTCTTACAGTCAGTGGAAAGACTTTATGGTCAGGTTTTAATTATAATTGCGTCTTACTTACCAGTACAACATTGTACATATACATACATACCTATACATAGGTTAATTGACCGCTCCCCATAGGGGCTTTTCAGGGCAAACACCACCCATCCCACCCAGGGGAGGACGTCCACCACACAGTAATCTCGTGCGTGGGAAATTAACGTCTCCTACCCCTAACCCTGCAAGAGACGGGACCTACGGTATATTTGTCCTTATCCGAGAAGACTAGAATATCTATCCATTTCTTGATTATAGAAAGGTAGCAAATTCTCCTCACTTATTTTAAGACCATGAGAGGCCGGGGCTCGAACCCTTGGCCGGGGCTCGAACCCTCGACCTCCCGCACAACAAATTCCGGCGCTCTAACCAATTGAGCTATTTTTTACGTAGGCATCTTTTCTTTTCGAATAAGAAAAATAAGATTGTAAACCTCTTATTTTTCTTATTCGAAAAAAAAAAACATGCCTCCGTAAAAAGTAATGAATGAACTAAATCCCTTGCTTCATTCTAAAAGATCATTTTGAAGATAACAGTCACAAAAGGCATTTCTACAACTGGATATATATTTGCGGGTATAGCGTAGAATACAAACTCACGATCGATCCTTTTTATTTCAGAAAATATCATTGATTGTGGTAGGGACAGGTTGTTTTTTTGCGTTAATTTTTCACCTGGGGACCAAAGAGCCCCCTGCCGCTGTGGAAAACAGAAAAGGTAACTAAACAGAAAAAGCGAGTCGGCCCCTTCCTGTCACGCAAACGTTTGCGTGACAGATGGCTCTTTATTTCACTCGTTTCCAGACCCCTTTACAATTAGGGCATGCTCCAGTCCCTTTTTCGTTCTCCATCGAATCCCAGTGCGATTCTCTGAACAGAACTTGCTACCAGGTTGGTTGCTGCAGAAGAATACGGAATGAATTTAGAATAATCCTAGTTCCAGATTAACAGATAAACTAAGAACGTTAGACGTTCAATGCTCTAGTGGATTGAAAAGTTACACCGGTCAGAATCCTTTAGAGTTCTCCCTTTCCGAAAGATAAAACGTCCATCCAGTATAATTCAAAAGCAACACGTGATACGTTGTAACTTATTTCAGGTCCTTTTAGCAGCTTCATGTGGGGAGAGAAACGGAGAATTCTAAGCGGCACTCTGTCTATCCCTGATAAAACACCTGGGGTGTTCTCTATGTACAAAGAAAAAGAACTCGGTCAAGTTCCTGAGGAGAACTGGGTACAGACTGAAGCCACGCCCAAGGAACTCAAACAAGAGGAACATGAAGATATTGAAGATCTGGAAACTTCTCAGGAGAAGGCGGGTACTGACTCGCGCCAAAAAAGAGACATAGAAGTACGCGTGGCTGATTTGAGGAAAAGCACGGGTGGTAATGAATTTAGCTTTGCAAATCCGGCCTTTTGTACCAATGAAAAGTTAGACTTTGACCGTGAAAAAATTGCTGAGGATTCTAGTGAAAATTCTGGCATTCAAACGCAAGAAAAACATGGGATAACAAACGAATTTAGTTTCTCAAATCCTGCCTTTTTAAGCGAGGATAAACAAAGCGACAGCAATGTAACGAGTCCGCCAGAAACAAATCAAGTGGGGGGCGGGGATCGAAATGATGTAATGGCTGAAAGTCAGAGTAACAGATCTGATTGTAGCGACGCCAGCGAAGGGTATGCCTCATCGCCTGAAAACAATCCTGATGATTACATCAAAAGTCCCCATACAACGACAATCCTTGAGATAGAAAAGCCGGACTTTACCGAACAGGATGAGACTGCAATTGAATCCAACTCTTCCTACGTTGCACCCAGGTCTCTCTCGTCCTATAGCAGCCGCGGAGGCTTGCTTTCCAAGACGACTGATGCGAGTTTCAGTGGAGATAGTGTTATAATAGAGATATTGAATGATCATGGATCGGAGGGTAGTAAAACCAATAAGAGCTGGTCTTATTGGTTCAAGACTCCACTTTTCTATAAGGTAATTTTGGGAAATGTTTCTGTTGATCAGAATACATCGGTAAATATAGGACTGTGGAGAGCTTGGCTCGAAAAATTTAAGCCTGATTTCGTGGTAACTTTTCCTAAATAACATGCAGGATCTGCCCACAAATATCTAATGAACAAGCCTGATAGCATTAAAAAAAATTCTCTCTATTTGCATTTTTATAGATATCTTTTGCCTTCATGTGCGCACGCCTCGTTCAAGTACTCAGCTCCTCCTATGTTCCACTCTATTTGACGGAAACCCTTGGATTTGAGAAGGTAATCACTAGCTTCTTATCCCTTTCCGCGATATGTTACGATAAAATAAGGAAACGTATGATGCACGATCCTCGCAGTAGACAGCGCTATTTTATGCAATAGCGAAAATCAGACCTGAAAAAAATTCAGGCCTGTACGGGACTCGAACCACTGACCTCTGCGATACTAGTGCAGCGCTCTACCAATTGAGCTAACAAGCCAACTGGGAGCAGGCCGTTAAGTTGATTCGTAATAAACCCGTGAAAGTGATAAATCCGATACAATGAATATATGAAGTTCATATATTTTGAACTGCGGTATTAGATACGTATGATGCACGATCCTCGCAGTAGATAGCGCTATTTACTGCGATAAAATAAGGAAACGTCACGATAAAATAAAGAAACGTATGATGCACGATCCTCGCAGTAGATAGCGCTATTTTATGCAATAGCGGAAATCAGACCTGAAAAAAATCAGGCCTGTACGGGACTCGAACCACTGACCTCTGCGATACTAGTGCAGCGCTCTACCAATTGAGCTAACAAGCCAACTGGGAGCAGGCCGTTAAGTTGATTCGTAATAAACCCGTGAAAGTGATAAATCAGATACAATGAATATATGAAGTTCATAAATTTTGAACTGTGGTATTAGATACGTATGATGCACGATCCTCGCAGTAGATAGCGCTTATTACTGCAGTAGATAGCAGTAAATAGCAGCTATTTACTCGCAGTGAATAGCGCTATCTACTGCGAGGATCGTGTATCATACGTATCTAATACCGCAGTTCAAAATGTATGAACTTCATATATTCATTGTACCTAAAATAAGGAAACGTGTTCAGAGAAACTTGGCTCGCTGATGTAAAAGATAAGGGGAGAGGGAAGGAAACTTTGTGAAATGGGGTTTAGGAATGGGGCTAATCTCGTGCCCAAATCCTACTGTTTAACTGTAACTGAAATATTGGATCTGGTCTATTTCTTTACCGTGGAGGGTCTGGATACGCGACCGGAAAAAGGCACGAGTAGTGATAGGCGTAGAAGTAGAAGGAGACATCTATATTTATACAGGATAGCCCCGTCAGTGTAGTAAACACTGGTATCAACAGGGGCCCTGTTACCCACCCATCCCACCCCAGGGGAGGACATCCATCACACAGTAATCTCGTGCGTGGGAAATTAACGTCTCCTNGGCTCGCTGATGTAAAAGATAAGGGGAGAGGGAAGGAAACTTTGTGAAATGGGGTTTAGGAATGGGGCTAATCTCGTGCCCAAATCCTACTGTTTAACTGTAACTGAAATATTGGATCTGGTCTATTTCTTTACCGTGGAGGGTCTGGATACGCGACCGGAAAAAGGCACGAGTAGTGATAGGCGTAGAAGTAGAAGGAGACATCTATATTTATACAGGATAGCCCCGTCAGTGTAGTAAACACTGGTATCAACAGGGGCCCTGTTACCCACCCATCCCACCCCAGGGGAGGACATCCATCACACAGTAATCTCGTGCGTGGGAAATTAACGTCTCCTGCCCCTAACCCAGCAGGAGACGGGACCTCCATTTATTCGTCCCTATCCGAGTAGACTAGAATATCTAATCATTTCTTGATGTTATAGAAAGGTAGCATATTCTTCTCAATTATTTTAAGACCCTGAGTGTTGGACCGGCCGGGGATGTATAGTTCAGGGGTGTTGGGAAGGGGACGTTTAAGGGAGATGTAGCGTTGTACCCAGACCTTTCACGGCCAAGTTGTTATAATTTTCATTTACACGATAGGATCTGAGTACGAAATTAGGGGGGAGGTATTAGGAGTGAGGCATAATAAAGAGTGATGGATGTGAAGTGAAGGATGATGGGTGGGTTTTGGGGCGTATGATGGGTTGGGTGAAAGTGATAGCTCGCTCCGCCTTTAAATCCAGCTTCGTTTTAGTTCCTCCAAGATCTACAGAATAATTAGAATTTAAATATATTTTTTCTTTTGTAGGCATCCATCGCTTATTTTCCTTTGGTGATCTTGATCAGTAGTGTAATTTCGAGCCTAGCTGCAAAGAAACTTGACAAAATGCTGGGAGAAAAAGTAAGTGGCAACGATGTCGAAACGTAGGTCATCAACATAAAGCTAGGAAGCCTAGAGCTATACATTGGCATCCTAGACGAGCTAACTATGGGGAAAAGGGGGGTAGGGTGGGGTATGAAGACTGGGATAAGCTCCAGTTGTTTGAGTTACCTAGCTTCTTTGTATAATCCACCATTTCTCTTTATAGTGGACGTACTGCTTAGCCGCCTCTCTGGTGGTAGGATCCTCAGCTTGGTTTTATCTTCAAGGTGAATCAGGAAAAAACGCTGCCTACTGCGCCGCAATCCTTGTAGGATGCGGTAGTTCTGTGATGTATGTGACGTCTTTGGCTCTGGCTGGAAAACTGGTTGGAGACAATAAAGAGTCCGGTGCATTTGTCTTCGCGTCCATGTGCATTCTAGCCAAGGTGGCTTGTGGGACCTCTATTTTAGTTATTCAAGAATTGTTTCCTACCGACGGGTAAGTGATGTGGACATGCGCACTTCAATTTCATATCGAGTGGCATTGTTGTCTTATATCCACCATCTTTAACTTTGACACCAGGAAGAGATTGATGTTACTTCTTCTCACAATACCTATATATTATACAGAAAATAGGTTATGAGAATACACAACTTGATCAGCCGGAGGGTGAGATCTTGAGAGTAAAAGTGGCGATTCCAGTGTGTCAATGTATCCGCCTACTCAATCGAATTGAAAAGCTACGTTCGAAGTAGAAGTGACAGTGACCAATCGCTAGGGTTGATTGGAGTCTGATAGTCCTATGGGTGTTCATTCTCCTGGCGCCTCGAGTTAAGAACCTAGATTCACGTGCTTTAGCTTACAACACTTAACACTTAACTCTAACCACTTAACGCGTAACGCTTGCCACTTAATGCTTCACGCTTTAGATGTGACCACGAAACACGCAACTAAGTAACACTTTCCATATAAACTTTTTTTATGAGTACTAAAGCAATTGTATGAGTACTAAAGTTGATGTATCTCAGCAGAGGCACCGCTGAATATGTCCGTTACGCGTTCTCTGTGGTACCAGGCACTGCGTCATTTCTGGGTTTCTTAGCTGTGATTGCTTTCCTTCCAGCCACTATGAAGTGCAAGAAAGTAGGTAAGTCGAGTAACAACCTCGTTCCCAGGTTCTCTCATCCTCCCTCCCTCCTCTCTTTCTCTCTCTCTCTCGCTTCAGGAGGGAGGGAAAAAGAGAGAACCTGTGAACGAGGTAGGTCAGGTCAAAATGACACATGCTCTGCTCATTAACTGAGAGAGATGTAGGTAGATTGGTGGCAATAAGTTTCGATAAACTGCATGTAGCCGCTGGCTCAACTTGAAAAAGAGTTCAGTTTTTTGCTGTATGGAAATTTCTTCAGACGCGGTTTCTTTTTTATCTTCCACCTTTCCCGGTAAGAGTTTTTACCAGCAAAAACAACCAAAGAACATTTTAAGGCATGCCAGAACGTTTTTTTATGTTGTGGAAACTTGATTTTTATTGACAAAAAGGGGGATTAACAGGACCTTGAGTCCACCACGCCCTCGACATTTCCTAAAATTCTTGATGACTTTTCCCTCTAAACAGATTTTACCACCTACACCTACACCTACTTTGAGTCCATTCCCTAATCCCCAGAGATAAGATAAATTCTTTATACTTTCTTTTATTTAATGAATGCACCTTACTCTTACTAGTTGACACCGCCGACTGCTCAGTACAGACAGAAGACATCACAAAAATCCCTTATACTTACGAAAACCGCGCTACAATGGGTGATCTCGATGGGGACTACAAGGAGGACGAGTTTGTTACAGATGACGGCGATAAAGCTCGTGCTGTATGTTAAGAGGGAAAGGATTAAAGTAAATGCAAAGAAGGAGGGGAAATGGAAGAGAACTCTAGAACAATTTAGTTCGAAATCTAGCGTCTCTGAGGATCTTATCTTTAGAAAACGTTGTGGAAATGATTTACATTCAGAAAGATACTAGATTAACTATTTTAGAATTGAGCAAGCTTCAATTATTTTACTTGGAAGTTGTTCCACACTCTCTATGGAGGTGAATGGTACTTGCGAATCACTTTCCGAACTAGCCAATCAGCGCGCGCGAAAAGCACTATGATAGGTTGCTTTGTTGTATGTAAAACGTACCTCATGTAAATAAACAGCTGAGTAAGGAGTAATTTTTTTTTCAATCACGTTGTCGCCTTTCTCGTTTCTTTTCGTCGTCGTTGGCTCGGCGAGACCTTGTAATAGCCCTTTGTGCTCTTTTTTGCTAGTTTACATGACAAGCGCGTTATATTATGAAAGTTTTCTAATCTTTTTCGTTTCTTTTCATCGTCGTTGTTATCATCATCGTCATCGCCATCGCCATCGCCATCGCCATCGCCATCGTCATCGTCATCGTTATCGCCACCACCATCGTCATCGCCATCGTCATCGTCAGTGTCACCAACATCGTCATCGTCATTGCCATAGTCATCGTTATCGTCGTATCGGCTGAGAGGGACTCATTTACGATGATTGAATAACCTCTGCACGAAGGGATTATAGAGAGGATTGGCTCAGTTCAGGGCGACGGAAGGTTTGGTATTGCTTTCCTATGAAGGACGTTGATCTAACCATTGATGTCGCCAATAGCGTAGAAGTCATCAGTTGCCATCATTGTCTTTTTTTAATGTTTTTGATTACAAGGTCCACGGTTACTAAAGATTCAATACGACGCCCGCCAAAACTTTTTTTAAATTTAAAGCTTCAATCAACTCATGTGCAAAGCCTCTGTTTATTCATATCTCTGTCTGGTATAAGGAACATTATTATTACCAGGAGCCAATTACCAGGAGCCTAGGTAATGGAGTCTTGTTATTACATAAAAAATTAAATTTTTGTTAGTGAAAGAATCAAACCTTCAATTTGACTGACAAAGTCATTGCAAAAGTGGTTGTTTAGTTTTATTCGAAGGTACAGTAGTTTAGTCTTTCAGCTGTTTATAAAGCATATGAATCGTCTCTTAAAGGAAGTTGTTGCAAGTGGCTTTCCTTGCATCGTTTCGATTCCCTTGTTTCCTTCCAGTAACACTGCTGACCAGTTGCATCAACCTCGCAGTGCTCGAATCGCTTCCAGCACCTCGATTGCGGCGTCCATTGATACAAGTACGGAGTCTGGGTTGCTCTCTTCTCGCATCCGGGTAACTTTTTGCGACATTCTAAGTCTGATTCACCGCACTGTCTGAACTGACATTGACGACATCCGGCCTCATAGTACCCCCGAAGATTTGCCCTTTTTCGTGGAGTCGTTTTGTTCCACTCCTCTCGCAGAAAGGAGAATTTCGTGAACAGCCTCCCGCCGTGCAGAATGTCACCGAACAAGAGGTACTCGATACCCGCACGGATCCCAAATACTCCGGTCACTTTATCGGAAGCGTTGCCGTCGGGGCTGTAAAGTTTCGTCTTGAACTCTGCGTCCAGCAAGCCGAAGGCCTTACCTTGACGTCCAAGCGATAGCCCTTTGAAAACTTCTTTAATGGTTATCTTGAAAACAAAATAGTTACCCTCAGTTATAGGTCCTGACTCGATGTGGGCACGTATCACTGTAAACAAAATAATAAGATAATAACAATGATGATAATTAATAGATAAATTCAGAAAAATGCCGGAAGCGTCATTTTTCTTAGCCACTCACGCAGTTATGCAAAGCATTCTCAGATTACTTTCTACTCTCGGCTCAAACTTAAAGTAAAACGCGATTGTGTGAGAGGAGAGGATTAAAGCGTTGTACGAAACGATCGAGAAGTTATTTTCAGATGTAATTCAAATGCCAAAATTCTTACAAAAAGAAACGGGCAAGTCTCAGTCAATTAATACCCTTTTATGGCGGACACAAAGATCTGCCTTGAGAAGATCTTGCTCGAATTTGTTTTTAACATCTAACTCTAATACAGTAACAAACACTTAAGGAGATAAAAGTTTACAAAAGTGATCGCACATGTTCACGGTTGGACCCAATAAAATCGTTAAGAAAAATTTTCCATAATGTCACGCCATACTCAAGAAATAAAATATCAGTGTAACACTTTCCTTTGTCTTTTTGCCCTTTAAACCTGTTCAAAAACGTGAAATAATACACGTAAAATCCGAAGTTGAATGTTTTTTCCCCTATCTTGGAACATGCGTTTAAACTTCCAAACTGGGAACAGTTTCAACTCAGCCTGTTTGTCCTTTCTACGAAATGTTTTCCTCCGTCTACAACTTCAGGTCACAACTTGTTACAAACATTATAATTTCTAAGGATCTCCAAACATTTTGTAAACTCACCGAAATCTGCTTTACAAAAAGCTAGCTGAGGATGTTCCAACTGAAAGAAACCACCATAACAAGATGCAATCAAGCATAACATCACTGTTAGACCTGCGTGAACTTCCATGGCTTCCACTGAATTTCTGATTTGACTTTCGCTTGTTGAAGCTCTTGAATCGCCTTTGGCTGACTGGAGAAAGCGGCTGTTCGTCCGTATAAATATCCTGTCTAACCGGGAGTTGGGTGGGCGGATTCCTCGAGGAATTTAAAATGAACACGTAAACATAATAACTTGAGATACAAGTGTTGACTGTTACCTGACTTCCGGTAAACATTCCAGGTTGGGACGGGCCCTCCACTTGGACGTAGACAACTTACGCCTTTAGACGCAAGTGCCTCTATAGACCGGCAAACATTTTACGGAAGCACTTCGAATAATTTTGTCAATAGGGATACCTTGATGATAGTAAATTGTCTTCTCGAAAGAAGAAACAAAACAAAATTAATTAATCTGCTGTTGAACGCATAAAGGCTTAGCTGCTATGGCGAATGGAGTTACAAAGTCACGAAGAGCGAGTACACGTATGTGCCAGATTTTTTAGTAAATTTAATGATTTTTAAAGGAGTAAGCCGGTTTCGCAAGAGTTGCGAATGGTTCACGAGGTCACGCACGTGCTAAATAGCAAAGTAAATATGATTATCTTTAATAAGAAATCACGTCCTCTTCTAACCGAAAAAAGAGTCTAAACACAAAAAGACCCAACTTCATTTACAAATAAGCTTCTTAAGGAGAAACATCGAAATACTCTTGTCGTGACTTGGGTCAGTATATGTCAATATATGTAAAATGTTACTTCACTTTGATGGACTAAGTTTTGTTTTCAACTAGTTTTCCTCAGCTATGAGTGTGCCAAAGGGATTCTTATGGTGTACCACTATCTCACTTCTGTTACTAAAACGTGATAAGTTATTTGAAGAAAATAACCGAGCATATTCTCCTCTTTTCCTGTGTAAAAACAGCCTACGTCTTTGGACTCTAAAATCCTTTTACGAGCAGAACACGAGGTTAGCCGAAGGTACGTTCGGATCGGCGCCGACTGATATTCCGTGTTTTTGCTGATTTCTTTTTTCAAAGCTCTAGCATAGGTTTTTATGTAAATTCTTCCTTTAGATATCAATTAAGCTTGATTGAAAGGGATATTTTCAAGATTTGTCTGACTAACTATGTGTTACTCACGTCCGATTATTCCATATTTGACCACAACTCAGTTACAGTTTGACCTCAATTATTTTTACTCTGAACACGTTTTCCCGCCCACGACAACCACAAAAAAACACTTAAAAAGGCTGTCTGGCCTGTATTGAATTACGAACCGCCGGAATAACGCACTTCCCTTGATGCAGGAAATAGAACGTTTCAGGTAAATAAATAATTGACCTAGCTTTTGTAACTCGATGAAACTGACACTTCTCTCAGCAGGAGAGTTTCTGGTCTGAAAATGGCATCTCGGACTGTGAAATGAATCATTTTGACTGCCACCGGCTTGCGATACTTTAATTTTTAGCGTAGACGGGAAAAAGAGAAGTCTCAGTCTTAAGTCTTTACAAAATTAATTTGGATTTGCCACTTAAATGTTACTAGAAGATGCGGGTTAGATTGTGCTTTGACCGTCGATCTTTGGAGGGACGAGTGGGTTCTTTTGGTTAGTGCAATAGACCGAGTCAAGAAGTCTGAGTTCGACGGAGACATGGCTGAGTTTCGGTTGTATCCTTGGGCTAGACTTTTGCCTCGCAGAGGGCCTCTCTCCACCAGGGAGTAGAGGTAGGAACCAGCGAACTATTAGGGAGGCCTGCGGAATGATCGGAAATGCCAGGGTGTAACCTTTGCAATGAAATGGCATCCTATTCAAGAGGAATAAGAATACTCGAACTGTCTTCATGCTTCAGAAACTGATTGCCGGCTGAATCGGTCACTTTGAACTGAAGCAGACTAAAACCTGCACTTTTCTATAAATGCCCTTGCTTCACCTTAATCTCAAACTCCTTATGACCAAAAACAGGCCAATATATCGATGTCAGCTTCAATGACAACGCATCCGTGTCAAATCACTGTAATGGAGGCTTATTGCAAAGGGGGAGGGGTTCAAAGGGGGAGGGGTTCAAAGGGGGAGGGGTCGAAGTTCCCTTCCACTCTCCCTCCTCCTTTGTGGGAAGTTTTTTTTTCCAAGTCAATAACATACAAAACTAACAATTCAGATTGCGGAAAAGAGCGGATCCAAGGTATGTAAACGGCATCTATCACCATTACTCTCTCTTGCTTTCACTCAGTACTCATCCTACATGATGTCACTCTAGTTTATCATTGTCGTTATCATAATCAAGATTATTGTCGTTATCGATCATTATCGTGCCAGAAAGAGGGTGTCATAAGTACACAAGGATTTCTGCACCCCTACCCCACCTATTCCTGGCCTGCTTGCAAGTGGTATTTGGTGTGCGCCAGATTCAGTACGGCGAATATCTTCGGTCGCCATAATGGACTGGTGGAAGATCAGGGACGAGTGACAAAGCGAGGGGGAGAGGGAAGGGGGAGAAAACTAGGGACCCCCCTCCCCATTTCGCCTCCCCCCCTCGCTTTGTTACTCGTTCCAGATCTTCCGCCCGTCCAATATGGCGACTGAATATATTCCCCGTGCTCAATCTCGCACATATCTATCCCGTACCGCCTGCAAGCAAGCTAACCTATTCTTCATCTTCATACATTGCCCTTTGAGAGGTTTAGCCTGTTTTGGGAAGGAAGGAAGCAGGGCAAGCGAATAACCCCTATCCACAAGAGTGCTTGGATAAACGGATGAGAAATAACTTGATCAAAGGTTTTAGCATGAGAGGAAGGAATGCTTTCATTACGGGTGTATTTCTATGAATTCGGGATATCACCGAATGGGGCGCTATGAGTTGCTCTGGTTGCTTTTCTCAAGTCTTTACACAATTCCAATACCGTAACAAGAAGTTTGAGAAACATACTCTTCGACTTACAAGCTTCAACTAATTTACATTGATGGCTACAGCTATCACAAATATAGATTTGGTACAACTTAACATCATTCCTATACAACATATAACTAAGTTTGCATTGAACTGGCAATTTGAACGAAGTACTAAATAATTGCGTAAATTTGTTTAAAAATTCTTAATCAATTATTTCTTAATTATTTCGTTACCCCCACCGATGCAGCCCCAAACAGTTTCTTTAGAAACTATCAGCCTTTAAAAATTCTTAAGTCCCATATGAAGAAACAAGCCTATCCTCCATCTGCTGATATATCATGCCTTGACGCCTGTAAAGCGATTTCTCTCCTCACATCCGGTTTCATAATACTGAAGTTTTTCTCTATCTTGTGGGGCCACATCGTCCCAGTCCTTCCGCACTGAGGTGAATCTCGTATACATCCCTACACCTTTCAAAATTTCGCCATGCAAAAGGTACTCAACGCCTGCTTTGATGCCATACGGACCAGTCACTCCCTCTGACGACATTTCGCCGGGGGTGTAAAGTTTCGTCGTAAGGTTAGCGTCTAGGGCATGTAGGCCTGATACTCCTCTGAAGACTTCCGTGATGTTAATCTTGAAAACTTTATAGTAGCCTTCTGTTTCAGGTCCAGACACAACATCAGCACGTATAACTGTGATAGAAAAGATAGTGTCGTGAAAACATCGCCTTACATGCTCCGTTTCGTTAATTAACGAATTCTAGCAATGAGCTTCAAACTGTCAGCTCGAATCAAAGGATATCAAAATCGCGGAGTCATAAGCAAACGTGGTTCGCACGCCTGTTGTCTCACTTAATAAGCTAAGTGTCAGTTTTAGGTTCTGTCCTCGTGTACCGATTCACAAGAGCCAATACAAAAGACCAAACAATACACAATAGCTAACCGATAACTCCTAAACAAAGAAAGAACAATGGTAATTCCCTTGTGAACCGGTACACCAGGACAGAACCCAGTTTTACAGAGGCTTAGGTCAAATCTTGGCTAGTAAATAACTTCTAAGCTTATTCGAATTTCCGCTACCTTGATCTTCAATTGTATTGTCAAGCCATGCCGCATATTCTCTTCCTTTTTTCTTTTCAGTTCTCCCGACAATTTAAAACCAATTTTCCATTGGCCATTTCACGCTTAATTGGGTGACAATTCTTAAAGACAAATAAAATTGTGTCAGGAAATTGTGCACTGAATTTGAGCTCCAAAACTAAAGCTCTCCTTTTTGTATCCTCATCAACCAGGCCGGCTCTCGATTGAATGTTAAAACATAAAACGGGAGATGGGGTTCCTAATAAACCCAAAACCAACCCATGGTCATAGATACTTTAAAAGAACCATATCTCTTTAAATTTTCAATGAATCTCAAAACTCACCAAAGTCTGCTTTACAAAAATCCTGCTGAGGATGTAATGACGGACGCTTTGGAATGAGGCCGGAATAACAGGACGCAAGAAAGCATGAGAGCACTAAGAGATATGCGTGAATTTCCATGGCGCACAGTTTCAGCTTTGACTTCAATTGTCTGTCGAAGTACTTCGAAACGTTCTTGATAAGTGCTGTTACTATAGTAGATGAATAATTTCGGCTGGCCGAATAGCACAAGTTAAGTCCATCCGTATATAAATCATATACCAACGGGAATTGCGTAGGTGGGTTACGGAAAGATTTCAAACTTGTTGCGTAAGTACCATGACTTGAACTTCTGATTTGACCTTCGGTAAACATGCTAGCGTTTGATTAATCCTTCACGCGCACGCAGTAGGACTGTGTCTTTGGTCACGCGTGTCTTGAGATGTTTTTACCGTGCCAGGCTTGAAAGCAGAATAATTACGGACGTACTTCAAGCGATTTTTGTACGTAAACTTGCTAGTAGTTTTTCAACTGTCTAATGATTACCTGGAATTGTATTCACGACAAAAAAAATTAATAATAGATTGACTAATCTTCCATCAAGCGCTTAAAGGGGAGCCGGCTTTCCCAAGTTCATTGACGTACGAATACACGAAATTCGAAGTCACGTACATGCCAGATGTTTTTGTAAATTCAACTTTTTTTTAAGAATAGGAAGGCACATTTTACAGAAAAACAAAACCGGTCTGCGTCCTTATCACTGTTATGTCGTCGAGTTGCAGATAAACTCGCGTATTCACGCACAAGATGTACGTTTTCTTAAATCAAGCATTTTTGAATAGGAAGGCACGTTTTCGCATGGGAAACTCACTTGCAACTGTGTTATAATCGTGGATTAATTAAAAACCTCAGATCACAGTAACGGACTAAATTTTATTTTCAACCTGATGTGGTAATGGTTAGCCCAAGGCGTAAAAGGGGGGGAGTACTGACGGTTTACCCTACCCCCTATGTCTGTCAATTAAAAGTAGTTTCTTGTAAGGAATAACACAACCCTTAGATTTCATTGACACGCTCTTCCTCCAACACTACTGCTACACACAGGCTACGTGCGGAATATTGAACTTATTCCAACAAACAGAACTTACTCAAGTCAATCCCAAGGCACGTTCCGATCAGAGTCAACTAGAAGTCCGTGTTTTTGCGTTTTTTTTTTGTTTTTTTTTTGGTGCTTGATGATATGCTATTCTAGAAGCCTTAAAAACATTTTAACTTGAATGAGCAAGGCTGTTTCAAGACCTTTCTCTAAAAGCTGTTTTTACTCACATCCGCTAACTCCATATATGACCGCAGTTTTGCTGCTCTAATTAAAACAGTTTCAGCTCTGCAACACGTATTCCTGCCTACGATAATACTTGCATTCCATCATTTTGGAGTCGTGTAGCCTGAATGACATAAACAGCTGGAACAACGCACACCTGTTGATGTATTACACCGGGGAAGAGCCGAAAACTGAATAGCCTATTTCAAGACAAGAAATAATTGAACACAGTTTATGAAACTCAACAACATCGACAACATCGACACTCCTTTCCAAAAAGAGACTTCTTATCTAAAAATTGATATCTGGGAGACAAACTAATTTTGCTGCTAGAAGTGTGAGGAATTTTTTGGGTGAAAACAATCTTAAAACACGGAAATCTCACTCGCCAGTCTTCATATACCATATATTCGTCAGTTCAGGTTCACTAGATCATTCACGTTAGAATGATGTGTTCGCAAACTGACCGCCAATCTTCTCAAATATTCAATTTTACTGTAAAATTAAATATTCGAGAAGATTGGCGGCCAGTTTGCGAACACATCATTCTAACGTGAATGATCTAGTGAACCTGAAATGACGCTTAAAAGCTAATGATATATTTAGACAACGGTAAGCCTCTCTCTACTGTATCATGGTTTGTGTATTATCAAAAAGACACGATAATTGGGATTCCATCGTGCCCAGATCCTGAAGCTGAAAGTACGACATAAGCAGAAGGGAAGGAAGGAAACTTTTTTTCGGCCCGTGCTGCCCAAAAAGACGTCGAGTTTTCAATAGGTTCGGAGACCAAAATGAACGTGTGCGATTTGATAACATTTGAGTCACGGATACTCGTGTTTTGAAAAGGGACATGGATTTGCCAAGCAAGAAATATGCGGGATTCATTGATATGTGCGTACCAGCCATTATTTGGCAACGTGTTAATCGTGGAAAAATGCGAATGTGATAAATCGAGAAGAATCAGTCACGGTTTTCAAATCATCACATGATCATGTAAGCTTAGGCTCTTACTGAACACCCGGAAATAAAAATATGCTTTTGAAATATTTTATCTTAATAAGGTATTTTGTTTAACTTAAGCTTTCCGGAAAGTTTTGATTTCTTTAAGTGATGTCTGTGTATCAAAGGAAATCAAATAGGAGATTATGTGATCCAACCTTTCCTCTGCGAAACACACAATGAATAAGAACTAGTGAGTGGATAAGTATCCACTTCCTCACAGCAGTAACACCTCCACCCCCCGAATCATTACTGGGCTCCCGGGTAAAGAGAATGAAGGAAATGATCGCGAGCTTAAAGTGCCACTGAGAACAAAATTTTGGTACATTATTTTTTTTACAATTTCGTGTTCAGTGTGTCCCCCTCACCTACCCTGCCAAATTTTAACCTAGTCCGAGCGCCAGAAGTATCTTTAGACGAGATTTCGCGTCCGCATTATTTGACTATGTTCCGGAAGTTGATCGCAGGATTCGGAGGAAGTGACGTCAAAGGATCAACGCGAAAATCATCACATGGCTAAATGTCAAACAAACATAATAGAACGGTCTATTCTATTATTGCTAAACATTAAGAAACTCTTTAAAGTGGCCAATTTACGCCCTCAGCTCAGTTGATAAAACCAATTATATTGTTATACCCGCCACCGACATAGCACCACAGTATCTTTACTAACTTACCTCCTTGCTTGCATGCAGTTATGCGAATCCGTATCTTGGGTATGTATTCTTTCCGAGTGCTATGTCTAAAGTCTCCGATGCGTAGCAGTTTTCCAGAACATTTCCGAATTAAGCTAGAGTCGTATCATTGTCAATACCCTGTGGTAGAGATATCTTTTCTCAATTCGTCTGTCTTTCTCGGCTAAAACCTCCAGATGACCCAAACCATCTTACTCCCAGAACATTGATCAGAAGATCATTCTCAATCGATTAACTATGCGAAGATGTATTCGAAATCAATAACAAGCGACTTGATACTAACTCGACGAACAAAGCGCGCTTAAGAAACTCGCCAGTTGAGATCGCCCGAAATATGTTAAGTAAATGACAGTTCAACGCCAATCCCAATATATCTTGAACTTTGTTAGTTGATATCGATTTCCTAAGGCACTAAAAAGAAAAAATATGAGTAAACCCAGGTAGTAAGGTCCAACGAACGCGCCAAAGTTTCGAGAAGGTATAATATTTTTATGGAATTTATTGATGTAAACAAAGATGTCTACTTTATATACAACCATTTAGTAGCAATTTACACAATAATAATAATAATAATAATAATAATAATAATAATAAAGAATATTTATACAGGATAGCCCTTCAGTGCAGGAGCACTGTTATCAATGGGGTCCTGTCTAAATAACATAATATAAGGATAAAAACTAGAATAAGATAAGAATGACTACGCACCTAACTAAATGCCCTATGCAAAAAATTGATCTAAAGACTCCCTAAATGGTACCCTACTGCTAATTTGCTTGATTTTTAAAGGTAAAAAATTAAAAGCTGAGGCTCCTAAAAAATAAAAACTTTTCCGAGCAAAGTCAAGTCTCACTTTCGGCAGAGCAACGGTGGTCCCTCTGTTCCTCGTATTAAAATCGTGGGTTAACAATTTAAAATATTCTTTGAAAGGACTACAAACATTGCCTTTTAGGCAATCAAAAACAAATAAACAAGCCTTTTTCTTTAAAAAATTTTCAATTGTGGGTAGACGGAGTTCACAGTTTAGACATTTTGAGTTTTGCAGAATAATCCTGTGACTACGTTGTTCCAGGTTTCTTATTTGGCACCTTTGTGTCTCTGACCAACCAAGCGTAATTTGACCGCAATAAGTGAATATGGGCATTATCATTGCTCTGTAGATTCGTTCAGCGCTTAAGGTGTCAGTGTTAGAACGGATTCGTCGTAATAAATTCACTCTTCCTGCAGATTTCTTGTATGTTTTGTAAAAGTGCTTGTCAAGATTCAATGTAGGGTCCAGATAGACACCTAGGTACTTGTAATTTGTAGTCGTGTCGATGCGAGATCCATTTACNTATTGCCTCGGGCTTGTGGACATCGTTAAAATGAATTAAAAACAATAACGGCCCGAGAATACTTCCTTGGGGAACACCTGTGAAAACAGGGTTAGGTTCTGACAATACTCCCTTAAATTGAGTGATCTGGTTTCGGAGGAATAAATAGTCCGTAAACCAGTTCAGTTCATTGTCCTGTATTCCATAGCGAGACAGTTTTTCTAACAAAACGGAATGGCTGATGGTGTCAAACGTTTTAGATAAGTCAATGAAGATCGCTCCTGTAGCTTTACCTCCGTCCGCTTCCTTCCGGATAATGACGAACGTAACAAGTTTTAAACTTGGTCAACAAAACTAAACCTCGACAACTCACTTCTTTTAAGATTTACACTCGACAACAGATAAAAAAAAAATACGATTTCCTGCACTTCGGTACGAATAGTATTGTAAATCCTCACACAAATTACGGCCACTGGTTATGGCTACTGGTTACTGCATCATGATTGCAACCCTCAGCGTATCGTACTCTAACTCCATTTTCCTACTTTCGCGTGACGTCACCCCACCTCAGACGGATATCACAGAATTCGGAGCTTAATTTGTTGTCGTCCACTCTGCCTGACAGGAGATACTCCTGACCCTCCCGGAGCTGAAAGCTGCATGAGATAAACCGGGGGGGAATGTGTAGCTCGACTTTATACACTGGGCTCTCGCCTCTAAGAGATGGCGTGAATCCTGCCAGCTGCCTAAGCTGCTCTTTACCCTTGAAAACTTCAACAATTTTCAGATTGTAGACTTGAGGGGAGCCAAAAAGGCTGAATGCGTCATCATCAGACTGGACGGCATTTGCAGGGTTTGACGTAACCTTGGATTTCATTACTGTTAAAAAAGGACTGAGCTAGTGAGCTTGAACACGAGGGCGAGCAGTGCAATCTTAGTAATAGAGGTTTTGGACAGCAGCCATGTTGCATGGCAGGAACAATAGATTATTTTTCCCATGGGAAAAAATTTTCTTTCCTATGCATAATATTTTCATTGTTCCTGCCATGCAACATGGCT